AGTAATAATACAAAAGCAAACAGAAGGTATGGTATAGCTGCCAGTAACACTGTTGCCTTATATGCCAATGGTCATGAGTTCAAGGCCAGATGGTATATTTGCAGTATACACATATGGTGCTTTTATAATATAGTTCTATTATAAAACTACATTTTTCAACATTATGTTAAAAGGATGTTCAGGTAATAATGTTTCTGTGCTGACACTGACAGAACCTTTGGTAAAATGTAAAATGTGAAAATAATGTTCCATTAATGTTAGCAAATTACTTTGTGGCAATAATGTTAGCTAAAGTTCTGGGAATGTTCCCTGTTAGCTGGGTTACTTATTTCCTTAGCTGTCACCCTCTACCAGGGAGCGTACAATCCCTGCTTCCCAATGCCCCATTAAGAAATGTTTATCCCAGTAACGGAGAGAACACCCAAGGATCAGAACAGCATTCTCTTCTCTGGGATTTCAGCCCAGTCCAGACTGCAGTAACATCGATGTTACTTAATTCCACCACGAATTATAGTGGGTTTGAACGGCTGTCATTGCTGGCAGGACATTCTTCCTTTAGTATCAATAACCTGCCCGCTCGTAACACACCTACGCCACCGTCCTCTAACTAGCAGCGGTCACGGGCCCCGATGGTGAACAGTGAGTTTAAAAAAGCAATGACGTGTACAGAAAGCCATTTTAAAACCATAAAGCAGTCTAATTAGGTCATCACACTCGGAACAAATGCACAGCACTTCAAGGAGTATAACACGATAATCCGTATTCTTACCATGTGATTTTGGTCAGCATTCCCCATGTGTTTAGCATTAACACACGTTAGCATTAGTATACGTCAGCATTAACACACGTTAGCATTATTATACTGGCAACACGCAGGCCTTGCGCCCAGTTTATTGGAACACAGTCTGTAGCATCGCTCCCCCTCCCTGCATGATAGACCAGACTGGGACAGTGCATCTCACCCAGCAACGAGGTGTTAGACCTGTCAAAAAAAAAAAAAACAGCTCAGGGAAACTGACTCGACTGCCAAGAGATCATTTGCAAATGGCACTTTATCAATCAAGCAAATGGCCTCCCTGCTCCAGACATCCACCGGACCACCAAAAGGTTCATTAAATCCACATTTCTCAGTATGAATCCCGGGTTGCGCCAGAACCAAGCCCCATTCATCATTTAAGCACTCAATTACACATGCATTCATCTCAGCATGCACCACCCTTTCGGCGTGGTAATAAAAATTTACATGTTAATCTATGCACCGCCATCCCAGGCAATTCATCTCAGCTCATCGACTGGCCACTTGAGCCATGTGGACTACTGGCCAGGCAGTGCGGGGGCTGGGTGGGGTACAGGCACACAAGTGGCTGAGCCCCTCGTACCGGGCTCACTCTGGCTCTTTACATGCCTCTCTCCTTCCAGGTGACGACGTCTAACGAACCGTGATAAGCAAAGTTAATTAGAGAACGGGCAAATCGGTGGGGAGAAGCTGCAAAATACACAGATTGCGATTTTTCTCTCTTTGCATTTGTTTCTGAAATATATTGTTTTTTATTAAACATTTATTCTTTGTTTTAATTTAATTTTTGAATTACTTTTCAATATGAGAAAACACCTTGGCCTTTATTGCATGGTATCTTAAAATTGCAAAAAAGTAAAATCCTTACAAATACATCTTATTTATTAAACTGTAACGAGAAGCAGGAGAGAATTTAAATTAAAAACGCAATGAAAGATATGTAATTATCTATTCATCTTCCATACACACATCCACTTATTACAGTCATGGTAATAAGGTTAGTCATACTTAATTATGAGATAAAAAAATTTTGAATAGTACAATTTACCTTGAGCCAATCTTCAGATTTTTTTCTTTTAATTAACCAATTAATTATAGATCTGTAACCATACATTTACATTGTATATATTTATAGTATCATATGATTACAGCAGAATAGTAATTTTTTTTGTAATTTTGTAACATTTAAATGTAACATATTTTTAATGAACTGCCTGCAAGAAACCAAACGACAGAGAAACTTACATTTCACTTGTTTCACTGATTTCCTTTTTATAATAGTAATCATATTTAATTTCTATGTTTAGTTGTGTTCATCTTCTCTTTAACCTTAAAATCTTAAAATATGAAGATTTTTTTTAAGGTGATGTGATGATTTTTTTGCTCTGACCGAAGCACATTTACTGGCTTGCCCCCCAGGCCGTCCCCCCAGCTGTGTCCCTTACGCTGCCTCGCAGCATCTTCAGGTCCCTCTGCTAGTCTGACCGTATACACTTACAAAATGGTTCGACGAAATGATTTGCTTGAGAAATCAAAGACTTGTAGATATGATGGCTTACAATTATTATTCTGAAAAAAACAAGAACAATCTGCAGAATGAGATTTAAGTTCTGCTGCGCAGTAAAAATGTAATTGAGCTCATGTTGAATGGTTCCGCTTACCTTGTATTGTATTAATAAGCAACAGAATACGGCTTATTGATCCATTCTCCGCCTTAGTCTCAGTGGAATGCATGTTAATGCTGGACTTGACGACAGCGGGGTTCTTTGTACCCTTTACTATGCCGCTTGTAACCGTTTTAGAAAATGGATTTTGCATTTCTTCCCTGTCAGACTAACGGCTAAGCCCGGGGCAGAGGTGGGGGGGGGGGGGGCACTCAGACGGAATGGGGAGACATTGGGCTGGTAAATTGAAAACAGCAGACCTCAAGGTTAGAGAACATCAATCCTCCAGGACTGAATGCCTGGGAAGGGAAGAGCAGAAAATAAAGAGGAGTGAGCACAGCTGTGAGGGAGCGAGAGAGAGAGGGTGAGAGAGAGAGAGAGAGAGAGAGTGAGCAAGAGAGAGAGCAAGGCAGAAGCAGAGATAGAGAGGAAAAAGGGGCAGGGAGAGAGGGAGGAAAAGAGAAAGAGGGAGACAGCAAGAGCAACAACCACAGGAGACAGTTAGGACTGCAGCGGTGTGAGGGGATTTACAGCGCCATGCGACGCTAGTGCAGCCTTACTCTGGATGGTTTCCTGCTGGCCGGCCAATCGTGATCCGAGCACTGGAAGAGCCCCGGGATCGACTGCGATGAGGTAGGATCGTCCGTGGGAAGCAGAGCAGCAGGCTGGCGCTGCTCTTCAAAGAGGCGGGGGCCGGTGCGTGGGTGAGCGCCCCACCTGGCCACGGCTCTGTGGGAGGGTCAGGTACTTTGTTTTGTTTCCTCCAGGTATGTTTCACTACTTTGTCTATTTTTAAACACGGTTAAAAGTTCCTCCCCCCCCCCCCGCCCCCCATCAGTGTATTCTAAAGCTTACACTTTCTACGCTCTCCGAGACCTTAGGATTAATGGCTCTGGGGCTGGCAGTGGGCCCATGTCAGGAGGTTTGGGGACGCCTCGCATTGTGCACGGGACAAAAGCTGCCCCTGCGTGTAATGGGGGGTGTGCTCTGGAGGATGGGTGCCGTGGGGAGGGGAGCGGGTGCATTGGGGCTGAAGCGGGGTTCGTGGAAGCAGAGACAGAGCCTGGGGTGGGGGCGTCAGAGCTTCTGAAAAGTGGGGGTCGCTGGTGCCCATCAGCACTGACTCCCTGGACATGGGATGCCCCGGCATGTCACCGTCGCACTCCATGTGAACCAGAGCTGCGCGGTCACACTGTCTTCCTTTGCCATATGCATTAATCAGCATGTCAACTGTAATCTGCCGGTTAAAAATACTTGTATGTTCCCTGTAGCCATGTGAGCCAGTGTTTTCACATATTTTCAGTGTTTATGTTATCATTTCCTCTCGTTGTAAGCCAATATCAAGCTGATATGCTGATATTAGTCCATCTCTATTTTTGAGAGTTTCACCGGTATTTTATTTTGTTTGGTTGGTCTGCATTTAGATTTAGACATTTAGATTTTTTTTTCCAAATTCATACACATGAGATATGTTAAATTATCGAAACACCATATTTAAGTACATCTCAGACACTAAGCACTGGATTGTTTTTTTAAATATGTACCTGAACAACAACAAAAACGAGCGTTTTCCTGTATATATAATTTGTTTAAAGGTATAGATAATAACTAAATCTGGTGATACTACAATAGGGAAAACATTTTATCATTAAAACAGTAGAAGTGTGAATTAGAAAATAATTTAATTAAATATTTAGCCAAGTATATTTTTGTGATATTCATGTGAGCACGGTGTCATTTATCTGTGATGTAAAATATGGCATAATTTTTTAATGTTAGATCCAAAAGAAGTTAGAATAAGTTAGATCCACAGATCAGTTAATAGTCATATAAATCACTGAAGACTACACAAAATTACTTTACATACAAGTGTGTAATAATTAAAAACTTAAACTAAAGAGGAACTTGAGAAATATGTAGCGCCAGACTATACCTGAAGCATCATTAGTTAATCGCGAGTTCGGTTCGCACAGGTCCGAAAGCGTGCAAAACGTGCCGCCCGAATTCGTGTCGATTTTTTTTTTTTTACTGGCACTGTGAACAATAATATTATATGAAAAAAATAAAGTGATATAAAATAAAAACGAATGAAAAACTAGTGAGCGTCCTCTCACCGCCCTGGCCGGGGGAACGGGCTGCAGGGATGCGCGAGCTCGCCCGGTAGGGCAGCTGAAGCTTATCGCGCGCGTGACGCTGCTCGCGCGGCTCTTTAGCTTCGCGCGGCGCTGTTTTGTTTCCCCAGCCGCGCTTTTGTAAAGGCGCTCGGCGGGGCGCCGTGCCGCTAACCGCTAGCTTCGTGTAGATTATGTACAAATCAAAGAATAGGAAGGCTCTCGCTGCTTCGCGCTCATGGAGAAAAATAACGGTTAAGCCAAATGACATCCTCCAGTTTTGTAATTTAAAATAGGGATTTAAAATATTTGGCCGGGTAGGGAGAGCCGTCAATAATCGCCGTATTAACGTTAAAAAAACCGTAAGCGTTTTAACCATGTAATTTTGTTTCATAATATTGCTAATAGATAAATATGCATTTGATTTTTAATATTGTAATATAATGATTTAAATGTTGAATCGGATGTCACAATGGTTTATTTTATTCTACGTAAAGCAGGCTAGAGATTTGATTTAATGTAGTGTAATTTAAAATATAATACCAGGTTAGTGAGAGGCAGTTTATGAGGAAAGTAATAAGAACCGCCAAGCAGGATAAACATGCTTTTTTTCAGGTGTTATGTGTTGGCCGCGTAACTGAGCGATTTGGCATGCTGATTAACCCCCCATTTCTTCACAGTAAATTGGAATACTATTATCGTGTTATCTGATGTCAGTCCTGGTGCCCAATCTTTTCTTACCTCATTTCCAGCACTTTTCACGAGGAGATCCTTTGCTGCGGTTTGTGTTCGGATTATGCACATGCCAACCGCAGACCTGGGGCAAAAGGCTTGAGCAATTTTGGACACTTACACTACAGGGCAGTCAACGAAGTTGTCAGGATGGTCAGGGCCATAAAAGTCTGATATGTTATTATGATAAACAAATCAATTATGCATTGCAAAAGAAATTGTGACAAGGGAAAAGTTATCACACTTTGCTTTGTCAAACCACTGTGTGAAAACAGTTTAGTGAAGACCTGCAGGAACCTCAGATTTGACATTAATGCCCACTAAGGGCTCTCTTCGCCTCACCATCATTGTGAGACATCTTCATGCTCCACTGCTGAGGGCTGCTGTGAAAGGCCAGGACAGCTCTGGGCATGATGGGCGGGTTGCTGGGGTTCTCCGTAAATAGAAACAGCCCTACGATTCCCTCTGGAGCAGGTAGCGCGGGCAGTCATCAGCGGAGCATGCAGCTCAGCTGGGACTCTTTCATGTGGAACTATAAAGGGCCGCAGACTCCAGGAGACAAATCTGTCCCAGCAGTCTGTGCGGATGATGGAAAGAGGGGGGGTTGCAGTGCATTAACGCGTTTGCTGGGTGCGCGCTCGGACCTGCAGCAGCTGCACAAATGCATGTATCTGGCAGATGGATCTGCATGACTTTATGGCCGTTATCCTCTGGGATATATCTCCGACATACGCTTAACTGGCGCCCAGCCTCTTCTCCCCTCAAACGCTCACCTGTTAAAGCAGCCACCGTATGTTTGATTTACACTGCGAGAGTGAGTCAGGAGGTCCCTCCCACAGCAGGTGGTCATGGGCGAGAGAGTAAAATGTAACCAGAATGGGGAACTCATACATGCCTCAACACAGGAAAGCTGTAAAACAGTGGGAGAGCGTTTGCCGTGCGCACTGAAATTCATTACCGCGTTTGGGATATAGATCTCCGTGTTCGTCTAATCCTGCGTGCGCCAGGCATGCAGGCATCGCCAGATGAGAAATGTGAATGAGACAGGTGTCGGATGGATCGCCCTAAAGGTGTCAGTTTTAGAAAGAAAGTTCCAGTCGTTGGGACGAGCTGCAGATGCAGAGGGGTGCGCAGTCCATTTTTCCAGTTAAAAAACAGGACTTGCAGGAAGTGTACCCAAGCGGATCTTCCTGAAATCATTGTTCCAGAGGGTACCAGGCCGGTGCTTTTGTACTGACAAAGGTAAAGGAGCGAAACATAACCATGATTCTTCGCACCTCAGCCACCCTCCTCCTACCAACAGCCGTCGTTTAAAACTTCATCAGCTCTGACGAAGCGCTGCTCGGGAAACAACTTTTTTAAAAATCCTGCCCCATCTGCTTCCCCTTCTCCCTGCTGTCATCCCCACCACCTCTACCTCATCCTCTACCCTGGTTTGACTCGTCTGACTATGGCCCTCAGCTCCCTGCTCCTCCGATGTCCCGCTGGTCACCATATGTTTCCCTACAGCTGATGATTACATGCCCTAATGCATTGTTAATGGTTGATAAATGATTGGAGTGCTTGAACCGGCAGATTTATATGGGCCTGTGAGAGAGAGAAAGAGAGAAAACCCGAGTGAATGCGAGTCTCACCTTCCCAGCTTCAGCAATCCATCAGTTGGAGAGGAGGTGCTGAGAGTGTGACCGTTTCATCACATCATGGGCGCTAGGCAGGAGGACAAGACGTCATCCTTGTGAGAGAGGTGTGGGATGACGGAGCCCAGGGGCACTTTATAATGGCACATCAGCACACCGTGTGTGATGCTGTGATCCTACGGTTCTACTTTTCTTGCCGCATCGGGTCCCGTGTGGACTTCGTCGCGTGGGTGGCCAGACGGCGTGAGTGGTGTGAACACTTACAGCTTTGGGAAATCTGATGGGATCTCTAAGAAATACAGTAGTTAGAACATGCAGGTGCTTCCAGATCGCAGTACACATTGCAGGAGATCTGAGAACACAGTGTTTATCAACCTGGTCCTCACAGACCCCCGGACAGTCCATGTTTTTGCTGCTGTTCGGAGCAAAAATGTGCACCGTCTGAGGGTCCCCGAGGACCGGGTTAAGAAATGCTGTGAGAGTGTGTCTGGGCTTCGTCTCTGCAGCAGCAGCTGACTTCATTCCTATGTGCTTTGTTGACAGGAGCGGCGAGGTGGGAACAGCAACAGTGTGAGCAAGGTCTGAGCAGGCTTTGGAGTGCGATGGCTGGGTGCGGGCTGTCTGTGGGCTTCCTGCTGCTGGGGCTCCTCACTCTGGCCCACGGCTCCGTGTTCCTGTCCAACCAGCGCCTGAAGGCCCGCTTCCAGAGGGACCGGCGCAACATCAGGCCCAACATTATCCTCATATTGACAGACGACCAGGACATGGAGTTGGGTGAGTACAGGAGTGATCTGTAATCTCACTCCCAGACGCCACCCTCTACCCCGAAGTATTGTGTCCTTTTTGAATGTGGAAAGGAACCAAGATTCATCCATCCATCCAATTTAAGTACCCGCTCTGCCTATTCAGGATCATGGGGGGTCCGGAGCCTATCCCAGAAGCCATAGGAGCAAGGCAGGGAACAACCCAGGATGGGGTGCCAACCCATCGCAGGGCACAGTCACACACCGTTTGGAACCAAGATTCAATGCAATGCAAAAATATAGAAAAAGTTATGGACATTTCGGGTGTGGCAAATTTTTTATATGATTTAAATTATATTATGACAGCGTGTGCGGCACAGATGTGCTATGAGTGGATTGAAAATAGATTCACATGTATCGAGAATGTGCATTTTTTGAGTCTCTGTTCAACAAAAGGCAAATTCTGTCCCACGTGTAAGACATCATTTATAGAGAAAATCCTTACATACTATAGCTGACAGTCCACAAAAGAGGTGCTTCATAATTACAGGACCTACACCAACAGAACCACACTATGATGTGGATGGAACGATTAGAAAATTTCTCACGATCAAGCTACTTGTGAACCGGTATGTCTGTACGGCACACTGACAGCAAAGTGAAACAAACAGACTCCTTTAAGGCAGAGAGAGAGAGAGAGAGAGAGAGAGCTATGTTCAGCAATCAAGTCTGATCTTTGAAGGCGTTGACAGCTGGAATGAATGACATCCATGCTGTGTAAATGGCCAAACCACATCGGTGTGGATATGTGAGCGTTCAGTTGGGCACGCTGCTAATTAGGCTCCGGTGTATCTCCAGAGGAAGCGTGCCGTCAAAGGCAGCGATGGCCAAGTGTGGTTCTGTGCATGGGCCCCAGGAGTGGGGGGTCTCTTTGTCACACCAGGGGATGCCGCATTCCCCTCCCAGCACTAATTGACGTAGAAGATGTTCGGGTGAGACGTGCCATTCCATCCGATGCAAACGGATCAGGCTCTTCAGGAGGCCCTCAGTAAGAATCCGCAGGAAGTCAGGCTGCATTTGTTTTACTTTCTTCTCCCGCGTGACAGCTAGCGGCAATACTGCAGTTCCTCGCTTGTGCGCCGTGTGACGCCTCTGCTTGTTCTTTCAAGCCTTCAAACACACATTATTGTCATTCAAACGGCTGTAATTATCAGCGATGCAGGGCAGACGCTTTGGCGAGCCTCCGAATGTTTTCCTTTGCATGTCAACAGTTATTATACTATGAATTCATCATGCTTGTTCTTCCACTATGTGATTATTTCCATCCCTTTTTTTCCCTGGTGTTTTTCCCTCGACTTTTCCCTGTTTGCAAGAGAAAAATCACTCAAATAGATTGCAGAACCACTCAGTTTTGGAGCAGTGAGACTGAAACAATCACGATTTAAAACAAGCTGATATTACTTTTAGAGGTTTATACTCTAAAATGGCTTAACTCTGTCATAAGTGAGGATGTTGCGGAATACTTTTTAATTACGAACGGGATATCATCTAACCGCGGTATGATTTTCATCCCTCTTCCCATTGCAAAAGCTGTGTTTTGGCTTATCCTGCACCATTTGACAGACTGAACTAAGCACACACCTGACACTCCCAGCAAATCACTGTTTTGGTGTCAAACAAGAGCTAGATGTTTTTCTCCCAAAAACGTGTATTGAGACACCACATAAAGAACTCAACTAGCAGCCTGTCTGCCTGTATGTCACGCCATTCCCCTGAAACCTTATTCAGTTAGTTCAGAGTTCTTTAAGTGTCAGAAAAAACATTGATGGACAGACAATGTTTCCCCCAGATTTGTCATGGAGGACCAGCTGAAAATTTGACCCAGAGTAGAGGTCCGGTACAAGAAGGAGCATGTTCTTGTGTCACGCAAACAGATGAGAAACTTTTTCCATTAATGATATGCATTTGACACCCAGTGGGGTTCCACACAGTTTTTGTCTAACAGGTCTGATGTGCATAATTTCTCCGGTCAGAGGCAGAACAATGACTGTACCTCTTGTGGTGAAAAACAGTATAATCCAGGATAAATGCCTTCCCTTTCAGGTCTCTATGTTTCATCCTCTCACCTGGTGCCTATTTTCTTACATTTTACCTAAATTTAAAAAAAAATCAATAAAGTAGTTGCATACAAGGAAAGATGGAGGCAATTTAGGACGAGCTTCCCAAAAAGATTTGCACTTTACAATTTAAAATTGCATACAGAAAATGGGATATTTTTGGCAGGGATTACTCGTGACTCGTGAAATTAATCGGCAGGGAGGTTTGCTGATAAATTGTACATTCTGTTTGCTCTTTTCCCTATTCACCAGGGGAATTAATTACTGCACTGTGCCAAACAAAAATAAATTCTGTTGGATTAGTCCACATGCTTACCTGAACAGTTACAAGGGCTTGGCTTAAATTCAGAAGGCACAAGGGCATAGAAATGAGTCCGGACAGGGGATGGGAGCTAATGGCCCTTCCTTCTAATTTGGGGGGGACCTCTTTTGCTCTTTCTCCCTGTGGTTTACGAACATCTTGCTGTAAAGAAAAAAAGAAGCACTTGCTATCCCCGAGTTGTCAACAGGCTCTATGAACATGCCTTCTGAAAACAGCTGTCTGGTTTTGACCTTTGTGTCTGCAGTGGAACGCTTGCCGGACGCATTTGAAAAGGTCAAGCAGGGTGGGATGGGTGGGGGGGGGGTCAGTCTGACCTTCCTGGTGGAGCCCATTCCGCATTTTAAGCAGCACTGCCAAAACACACCCATTATCTGACGCTGTCCAGTCGGCAGCATCCTGGGAATACGATCGCCAGGGGAACAGAGAGGCCAGGCTTTCGCGATGCGTGAATCCGTCAGGATGCTCCAGGGCCCAGCATCACAGCTGCAGACAGAACCGCAGAGGGCTTATTTCGCTGTGGCACCTGAAACCGGATTTATCCAGAAGCCCTTTCTTTATGTTGGGATCACAGGAGGTGTGTGAGTGCCTGCCAGGATACGTCCTGGCCTATAGAGGCCCTTTTTGGCTGTGCCGGCCAGTAGATAGCCCCGCACTTTGTGTGAAGGCCCCAGATTTTAGCCAACTGTGAACAAAGCAGGGAATGAATGAACAAATGTCTTTATGGCAACAATATCCCAGTCATTTTCCATCTGCTTTTTGCTTTCTGTGTAGAGGGGCCATTTTGGCTGCTAAAGGTCCTTCTCAACCCCACCCATGTCATTAGCTCCATATTTGGAAGCCGTGGCGACGGCTGGCCATGTTGGCGCCTGATGCCCACCCGCTCTCCCTCCCCATCACCACAGGTTCCATGCAGGCCATGAACAAGACACGCCGCATCATGGAGCAGGGAGGGACGCACTTCTCCAACGCCTTCGTGACCACGCCGATGTGCTGCCCGTCGCGCTCCTCCATGCTTACGGGGAAGTATGTGCACAACCACAACACCTACACCAACAACGAGAACTGCTCCTCACCATCCTGGCAGGCCCAACATGAGCCCCGCACCTTCGGAGTCTATCTCAATAGCACCGGCTACCGCACAGGTGTGTGTGTGCATATGTGTGTGTCTCTCTGCTTCACACTCGTTTTCCACCCTCACCTTGGTGTCAGTGTAACATAGTAAAACATGTAATGTAATGTAACACCAGTAAGGAACAACAGCGCTAACCACATTAGCGATAGGCTAACATGTCTTAGCGAAATTCTCACAGTGCCCCCTTACATCTAAGTTTCAACCCCTCCCACAACTATGGCTGGACGAGGAAGGGGATACAAAGCTGGTATCACTCCCACCTGTAAGGTTGTCAAATTTAGTTAGTTTTTCCCACTTCTGACACTGTTGGGACTCGACACAGAAGGCAGTAGCCCACGTCACTGCGGCACCTACAGGCAGGCTGCGGCGGGTGAGACATAGATACTGCCTTTGTGGCCTTAAGCAGAATTAACATGCTAGACTAATGTAAATGCATTAACCTATCCCAGAAGCATACCTAGAAATTCTGGACCCCCTGACAAAATGTCACCTTGGGCCCCATGCTACATGCTAATACAGGTCCCCCATGCTAAAATTTGAAGAGCACAGGTATAATTTTCCTTGAGCATATTCAGGGGCCCCTATAACTCTGCATGAGTATCCGTGCCCCTCCGACACCCCTGCCCTGTCCTATTTTACATTAGTGAGTGCACCTTACCCTGTAAAACAACCACCCCTCACTGCGAAATTTCATCATCAATAGATTTATTCCTTTTCTAATATTACTTAATTGATAGTTTTAATTCCATTTCCTTTAACTTGAAAGACCCTTTTAAAGGGATTGTTTTACATTGAAAGACTTATAATCGGGTTTTCTTTGAGGAGCTGAATCTCTTGATGCTTAAGAACAGGAGCATAAATAAGAGCACATACTGTACCAGGATGCTCAGATGCACACATGAATGAAAAGACCATGTCCTTCTCCAACCACTCGTTGACATTACCTTCAAAAGGGGAAGCATTTGTACCTGAAAATCATTTAGCTGACATTTCACCTTTAGACCTTCCAACCTTCTGAAGTGTCTATTTATTTTTTATTTTAAAATGGTTTCTTTTTCATGTAGGCTTTTCAAATTACAAATTACAAATTACTGTACTACCGGGATGAAAATCTGGCACAATGCATTTCCACAGACAGACTGGCCTGTAATGTAGCGAACACAAATGTTGGGTCAGATTAATTTTGCTTGATTTTAGTTAAAATTCATTTTTAAGTCTTGGCTGCCTGGAGTGGTTGATAGTAATCCAGTAGGTCTGTACCATGAACACTGGGTGTCATTGAGTCTATAGCCTTTCTTCTGTGGACCTAATTGAAACCCAATATTTTTATTCAAAATAAATAAAAAGAAAAGGAGAAAATAACCATTGCTATCTTAATTCTACCATAGACTTCCATGACTTGTATTTAACATTATATAATGATGTCAATTTCATCCTATCGTGTATCATCCATCCTCTGAGCACTTAGAGCTCCAACACAGAGTTTCTAGGTAGCATGTGTCACAGCCTGGATGGAATGCCAGTCCATCAGGGCACAGACACAATAGGGACAATATAAAAGCAGCAAACCTTTTGACTGTGAGAGGAAACCACAGTACCTGGAGGACAATATGGTAACTCCTCACACAGAGTGGAGATGGGAGTTAAACCCCAACTCGGCAGATATGAGGACTCAGTTCTGCCACAGTGCCACCTGTCTGACTGCCAGAGGTGGATAGTTCAGGTCCAGAAAGTAACAATCCAGACCAAGATTTTGTTTAATCCAACCAGTTGAGTATAAAGAGTCACAGTCATAGAGTATACAACTGGTTGGTTGAAACAAAACCTTGGTCTGGATTTTTACTTTTTACTTTTACTGGACCTGCACGATCCACCTCTGCTGAATCCAGTGCGATCTAAAGCGTACTGTGCACCATTTCACATTGTGGATGTAGATTTGTTTGACCTCCTTGCTCTCAAACATCCTTGAATGTGACACACTGTACGAGACCATTTAGATGAAAAAAACCTTGTCATACTTTTTCATGTTGCCACACAGCCTTCTTCGGGAAGTACCTGAATGAATACAACGGCTCCTACGTGCCTCCCGGATGGAGAGAGTGGGTGGGGCTGGTGAAGAACTCCCGCTTCTACAACTACACCTTGTGCAGGAATGGCGTCCGGGAGAAGCACGGCTTCAACTACCCGAAGGTCTCCGCCACTGTTTCCTCTCCATGCCCCATTCGTGTGATGGTTACTGTTCTGTGAGGTAAAAATGAGGCTCTGAAAACCATGGCCTGTGGGATGATTGCACCATTCAGCTGCTGCATGGCAAAACCCAATGGGAGCGGTGATTGACAGCATGCAGTAATTCTGTTCACTGCGGGTTTTGAAGCCTCGTCTCTAGGGCACAAAGCTATTTGCAGCATTGGTCACATATCCACAAGATATTCAGAGCATCACCGGCATGTGTAAAGGGCTTATAACTGGTAGATATATAGCGGATAGTGGGGCTTCTGGAATCTGCTGCTGGTTTGCCTGATCAATCAGTTGTGGCCTCATCGGATGACCATTGGCTGAAACGGGATTTTAGCTTACATCTTTAATTTTAGCTTACATCTTTTAGCTTTACATCTTTAACTTACATCAACGACCCAGTGAAGAAACGCAGTTGCTTTATTTCCCTCCAAAAGTGTGAGGAACATTTACCACATGCTTTGCTTGCATAGGCCTCTCCCAAGAGGAGACACTTCCAGTGTCTATCATCATGATGACCAGCTTTCCTGCAGCTGACTGTGGTCAAGAGGGTCTAGTTACTGAGATTTATGTTGGGCCTCACTTCTCATTTCAGACCAAAAAAAGGATGTAAACATATCCTTTGGTCTCTTTCTCTCATTATGGGCTGCACTGGGCCCCGGTCCATTCTACTGTGGCGGTGGAGCTTATGCCAGAGGCCAAGGCTGTGTGTCCTGCAGACCACGGCAGCTCAGTTCCTCAGACCCAATGTCACGCCACAGTTTGCAGCTGTCCATTAAAGTGATTGAGACCGCAAGGTCCGGTTTGCAGTGCCCTCTGATTCCTTCACACGCAGTGGACGGAGACTCTCCAGTGATTTATGCCTGAGGTCCCTCCTTGAGTATTCTTTTTAGTTTTTTAACCCACTGCCAAAAAACCATCAACGCCTGGCACCAATTTCCTCCATATTCTGTTTGCCTGCAGTGGACAGTGAGAGAGATTCCTCAAATCAAAAAGATGAGCTTCGAAGGTGAAACAAATGTTTCCAGCTTGGCCACAGAAAAAGGACCAATTTTCATTTCTAACTGTCTCAAAGGCGGGGGATTTGTGTCGTTAGATGGACCCATATGCACCGCTTTCACAGTTATAGAAATTCAATTAGCAGATGCAGTTTGTGTTGTCACACTCAAAGATTCGGCTAAAAAAAGATTAAACTACAAAATGTCTAGCAGGTCAGGTTCAAAATTAAAAGCATAGACAGAAGGTTAGCACTCAGACTTCAAACATTTTTATAGATCTATTTTCTTCTTTTTAATGCAGGACTACCTCACAGACATCATAACCAACGACAGCATTAACTACTTCCGCATCTCTAAGAAAATGTACCCTCACCGGCCCGTGATGATGGTGCTGAGCCACGCTGCCCCTCATGGCCCGGAGGACTCAGCGCCGCAGTATAGCAGTTCCTTCCCCAACGCCTCCCAGCACATGTGAGTTGTCACCTGCCAGATGTAGCGTCAGCCATGGAAATTCTTTAGAAAGGGGAGAGGGGGCTGGCAACACAAAACACAGAGAGGGAAGGGTCAGTGGTACCTTTGCTGTATTTCGGGGCGAGACATTTTTCTGACTTCCTCATTGGTATATTCCTCTGCATATTCCTTCTTCCACCACTATCTGCATATCATCTTCTGTCTTCTCTCCATCTTATGCTCTGCGCGTGTGTCTGTCTTCTTGACTTTCTCGTCCTACCTGTACACATAAGCCAGCAGTAAACCATCTCTCTTTCTCGGAGCAGCTCTCTCACTAAAACCTGCAGCTGACCGCTCCCAGTACACAGGGCAGCTCTGGAACGCCCCCCCCCCCCCCCCCCACTCCGGCACACACCCTGTCCGTGATTAATTTTTATAAAGACGGGGCTCTCAGAAGATCAGTGAGCACGGACTGGATGTGTGTCCCTTTGATATGTGAGACTGCGCTTACGTCACTGAGCCGGACTTCTGCGCAGCAGTGTCTGTAATTGCATGAGGCGATGCTCACGCAGGAACTCTGTCATCATTCTTTGGGTGAGCATTAGTGATCTGCTGAACATGTCTAAGCACTTGCATATACTGATGGTGTGTTTATGTAAGCCGATGGGAGAGCAAACCGGGGCAGATGTTAGAGTCCAGTTATAAATGATGCTGTAAGCTTTTCGTGAATTACCAAAGAGACACCTTACGGTGTCTGAGGGCATGTCCTTCCCTGGCACGTGCTGTGGGTGTTAATGGGCCACTAATTCCTCAGCGGAGGGCTGTGAGTCGCCGAACCGACTCGAATCCTCCACATGCGGCTGAGGTCCGAGTCTAATGAAGTTTCGGTGCCCTAATTTAATGTGAAATGCTGTCGGGGCTTGTTATTGTTGCGTTGTTGGTCCTCAAAGTCCATCCTTTGCCCTTTCCTGTTCCCCGTGCCCTCCTGCCCTGCCTGTCACTGTTGGCACAGCTGTCAGAGTGTATGTGACCCAGCTGGTCTTGCCCCAGTCTGTCATGTATCCTCCCCGTCCTCACAGTGGACGTTTCATCCCCCCGATGGGGAGGGGGCTGGGGATGGCTCTCCATGCTTGCTCATGTAAATGTAGGACATTCCAAGAAAGAGGTCTTGCTCTTCTGTTTGGGACAGTACTGTCAGAATGTATCCCTCCAGTGAAAATTCCAGTGTCACAAGAATCAGACCTCCACGGTATCAATAGCGCTTGTTTCAGTGGTGGATTTTAGAAAGTCCACCTTAAGCCTCTTATTTCATCGCTCCAGCGATAATTACTCTGTAATGTGGTGCCCCTGATTAACAGGCACCTCCACAGAACCCCAGAGCAGGAGTCACAGTGGCTGACAGTGTTTTCCATAACTTCCCTCATGTGCCATTAAAGCATTTTAATATCACGCAGGCTGCTGAGACCTGCTGCTATAATGCATATTTAAAGTTTTTAATTTAATCAGTCCCAGCACGATTTCCATATTCTGGTTTTCTTTTCCCCTTTATTGACTCAATGACTTGTACTTGTTGTCTCTTCCGTCTTCTTTTAAGAGAGTGAAGGTTTCTAACCTGTGTTCAATGTCCTGCTTTTTCCCACCTGTCTGCCACCTCTTTCCCCATGAAAAACCTCTTTCCCTCTGAGGGCCCTAATCCCCACTTCCCGCTCACCATGAAAACCGCCTTTCTCACCCCAATGCAGGTTCTCGATTCACTCTTTTGTCCTAGACATTCAATTTCTGAGAAAGGGAACGAAGACTGAGGATAAAAAGAGAGAGATGATTGCTTCTAAGGCTGCTGATTGCGCCCGATCCGAACAATCAGATTTTTTTCTTTTTAAGTAAAGATGGCTTAGTGAGTCCGGTGCAGCTGGATTCTCTCAGAAGAACCTGCGTGAATTGAGAGGATTACGCCTTGTGCTTTAAAGAGGACACAGCAGGAGGAAAAGAGATTTAACCTGCAGAACCCGGGTGATGCCAAGAAGTCTTTCTTGGGGGTCTAATACCTACCGGGGCAGCGCTTAAAGCAGCCAAATCTGTCCCCAATAAGTGCAAAGCAGAGATAAATAAATTTAAGTGACCCTTAATCGCAGTGTGAGATCTCTGAAAGGGGCTTAGCACAGAGGCCCTCTAGTGGTGCCAGCCTGTAATGCGATAGATAGGCCTGGCATTTATGTAGACCCGATCGCAGTTCTTTTCAGACCCCCTTCCCCGCTGAGTCGCATGTGGCATCCATTAGAAGGTCCTGCCTGGGTTCTTTATTGCGACTTGCAGGTTAAACTACAGAACGGATCGTCTGTCTTGCCCGGCAAAAGGGTGCCTGTGGAGTTTGGCACTGCCTAGTATGGGGCTGCGAGTGACACCGTCTGCTCACATGCATTCGTGCCGCACGTGGGTTGCAGCAACAGCACGGCACCTCTGTCTCTGTCTCCACCTCCGGCTCGCATGGCTCACAGGGCTCAGAGTAAGACAATGACATCGGCATTGGGGATTGTGGGTGTCGCAGATGGATAGAATTTCACCTCTTAAACCCTCAGCTCCACCCAGCAAGGTGTGTTAAGGGGCGGGTGAAGTAACTCAGACAGCGACCCAGCCGGTGACCTAGTCCAGCATCCCCTACGGTATCCCCGCTGCCGGTATCGACGCAGATAATTGTTGCGTGGCTGCTAATGCACACTTCAGCGGTGACATCCCCCAGCACTGTCGGGGGGGGGTGTTTGGCAAGATCGCCATTGCATTTACGCCAACCTGTGCCTGGGGGTCTGGCCGACCAAGAGTGAGCGAGAGTAGTGCTGCCCTCTCATACATGGCCGTCACGTCTTGAGGGATCGTTTTAACAGATTCACCCCCCCCCTCCCCCGCACGCTCAGATTGTCATTGAGTGTCACGCTGCAAGCATGGCGCGCTCTAGCATGCGTGACCTTCACTATGCCCCGCTGAGACCTGTCTTGCCCCCAAACCCTTAACAGCTCAGTCAGGCAAATGATTACCTGCCATTAACATGCATGACTGTATCTTTTATTCTTCAAAGATGCTCACAAATGTCGGCTATGAAACTTAGGCACCCCAGCAACACGATTCCCTGCCTCTACACTCAAGAGTGTCATCACTAAAAATAACCTGTCTACCTTAAAATAATTCAGCAATAAGATGCCTTTTACTGTGCTAGCCGTGTCCGTCTCCTGGGTGCACGAGGAGCAGCAGTGTAAGTGCACGGCCTGCCATCACCAGCAAATGGCTTTTGTCGGGGTAATTGAAAGAGCATAAAATATTTAGAATGTTTATGTTCTGGGGAGACACTCCAGTGTACAGGTGTTACGGTGTTCTGCCATCCTCCCCCAGATGTGAACCTACCGTGGGTCCACAGTTACAGCCAGTGCAGACCTTGAGGCATGCCTTAGAAGCACTGAGACAGGCTGAGTGGGCCTCGAGGCCTGCCTTAGGAGCATTGAGACAGGCTGCGTGAACTTCGAGGCCTGCCTTAAGAGCATTGAGATAGGCTGCACGGGCCTGGAGGCCTGCCTTAAGAGCATTGAGACAGGCTGTGCTGGCCTCAGGGCCTGCTTTAGGATCTTTGAGATAGGCTGCGCAGGCCTCCAGGACCGTCTTAGGAGCAGTGATTCCCTCCATTTGCTTTGTTCTCCTTCTGACCTTCTGATTTACTCTCCTCCCCCAGCACCCCAAGCTATAATTATGCGCCGAATCCGGACAAGCACTGGATCATGCGTTACACAGGTCCCATGAAACCCATCCACATGGAGTTCACCAACATGCTGCAGAGAAAGCGGCTGCAGACGCTGCTCTCTGTGGACGACTGTGTGGAGAAGGTGAGCTGCCCCATCCCCCCCCCCCTGCTGCCAGCACCGCCCCAGCCATGCCCAGCCACAGCTCTATGCTGTTGTCATGGCGATGTCAGTGATGCAGTGAACCGTGTTCCTAACTCATCCCGATAAACATTAAGCCCTTAACTGAAGAGTGGGGGTGGGGGGAACCCAGGCCTGGCAGATGTGAGCAGATACGCTTGGTCCCCTCGAGAGCCCGGGCGGCCCAGCTCCAGAGAGAGAGAGAGAGACGTGCCACTCTCCAATCCGCCGTCGCTGTTCCCATCGCTGCGCCCATCACAGCTGCCCAGGCTGTCTTTGTTGTCCAGGACTTACTGGGGGCTGCAGATTGGATTGGCTTCAGCTTCATCTAAATGAGCTGCACAAAGATGTAATGGATGCAGTGACCACCGGAGGGCCTCGGAGAGTAATGAGGGCCTGACAGCAGCCCCAGCTGCTCAGCTGGTGTCTCGCTCTGACCCGCACTCCCTGCTCACTGGACCAGATGATTCCCTTTTCCGGGAAGGGCGGTGATGTCTCTCCCCTCGTCTGCTGCGTTTATGAAATCGCAATAACATCCCTGCCGGCCGACCAGCCATGTGTTTTATGTTCCACCCCAGCAGCAGATTCCCAGCTGTACGCGCGCCAGTTCCTCAGTCATCGGAAAAATAACAGCTCTGTTGGAAAAAAGCGACCGTACCTTTATCTGACCGCGTGCCTCCATCTACAGGGCTGTGCTGGGCTATTTAATCCACATGTTTATTCCACAAGCATTCGCATGTTGGTGTGTTGTATGTGTTAGCATGTGGCGTGCCAGTGATGGGCTTGCGATGTGTCCATGGTAACATGCCTGTCGTTGTCGCAGGTGTATAACATGCTGGTAGAGACCGGGGAGCTGGACAACACTTACGTAATCTACACCGCCGACCATGGGTACCACATCGGCCAGTTCGGCCTGGTCAAGGGCAAATCCATGCCCTACGAGTTTGACATCCGCGTGCCTTTCTACATCCGAGGGCCCAATGTGGAGGCGGGAACCATGTAAGTGGGGTTCTGTGGTTCTGTTTATCGTTATTTATTTTACTGTCACTTCTGCTCTGATATCCGCCAACGCTGGTGGAGTTGGGGGAGGGAGTACCCATCGCATGTGGGCCAATCTGCGTAGACAACTGGGCCAGTGCTGGGAGGAGTACGTGTCTGCTTAACAGAGCCGGGGGAAGTTTGGGGGGGGGGGTCGGTGATGGGGGTTCTCCAGGGTAATTGTCAAGCTCCGCCGACTCCCCCAGAACACCTTAATTCACGTGTGCTGAGTGTCTGAGCTATTGTGGGCTGCCACAGCAACAGTGCCTCAAAGCCCAAGCTGGTAATTCGGCTGTCAAACACGCGGCCTTCCGACAGGCCCCCTGCACTGCCACGACACGGAGAGAGTGTTTCGATTTATAGTCTCAGCAATGTCCACATCTGCTGTGTGCTGAGGGTGAGACAAGCTCCTTTTCTCCCCACGGTGGTTAGTCAGATGTCACTTTTTAGAGATTTTCACATTTCATTTAACAACACAATTAAGTACATAAAGCCTGAGCCCTCAAGTAAAATATACATGTGGCCACAAAACCCGGTGACATGACGCGGGCCCTCGTGACCCTACAGCCCAGCAGCACATTGCGGAGTCTCATCACAGCGGCGCCGTTCTGCTGTGGACTCCCTGCCACTCGCCCTGCTCCCCGTCTTTATTTAATAACAATAACTTTGTTTACTGGGACGTTCCTGCCTGTGGATCCCTCAAAAAAGCCGATTAGATGCGAGCTGCAGATGATGTGGCCATTAGGGGATTCTCAGCTCGGCACAGGATTGGGTTTTTGCATTTTGAGAGGGGAGCTGCCTCGAGGCCCCCGCACGAAGCTGAGGTCTGGGGGGGGGGTGGGGATAACAGCACTCCATCTGCAACAATTGTCAGACCGTCAAAGAAATAAAAGGATCTGGCTCCTAATCTCCTCTTCACCCCTGCTCTCACTTCTGGTCCTGTGGTCCTGCTTCCGTAAATCTGATCAGCCTGTTCTCCCCATTACTGCTCTCAGACTCACCGACTACATGTTGGTGCAGTTCGCCCGTGGATCAGGCCTCACTGCATCACTACCGTTTATCTGCGGCCCGGCAAACAAAGGAGCTTTAATTCCCCCCCCCCCCCCGAGATGTTTGTTTCCCCGGTAACATTAAAGCCTGCCTCTGCACCAGGAGGCCATTAGCATAGAAAAGGAAGGAGCAGAATGGCTGCGGTCATTAGCGCAGGGATATATGCATGAGCCGGGCACTCGTACGGAATGGCATCAGATTAGAGTGCTTGCTCTGAAAGGTGGGAGGAGCCTCCGTGATTGAAGTCAGTCTTCGCCGCAGTAGGAGCGGGGATGTCCTGATATGAAAGGCATCCATCCGCTCTGTTCCAGCTTCCTTTCCCTCTCCTTCTGTCTTTCTCTCTATATACATAACCATCGCTGCTGCCTGGTGCAGGTTTCCTTTTGAATCAAACGGCACTGGCACCTCCCATCCCGCCAGAGAGCCCTCGTTCCAGCTTCACCGTTTTAACATCTGCTTCCTCTTCCTCGGTTCCCCGCAGCAACCCACACATTGTGCTGAATATCGACTTGGCCCCCACCATCCTGGACATCGCCGGCATGGACATCCCCCCCGACATGGACGGCAAGTCCATCCTGAAGCTTCTGGACACAGAGAAGCCGGTGAACAGGTGCGTCACCCAAAGGTCCCAGGCCAGAAGGAAAGTCCCTGCAGCCTGTCTGCGAAGCTGAGAGACACTGCACTGGCTAACATACCTCTCTGTGTCATTTGGCATCTGTTCCTAAGCAGTAACAGAATCCAGTAGAAATACAGCTGAGCAATTAAATCTAAGCAATTACACCATGTAGCAGAAATACAGCTGAGCAATTAAATCTAAACAGTAATACCATGTAGCAGAAATACACCTCAGCAATTAAATCTAAACAGCAATACCATTTAGCAGAAATACACCTCAGCAATTACACCTCTGTAGTTATACCACCTAGTAGAATCACATCTCAACAGTTACACCAGCTACTAGAAACATATTGCAGCAATTAAACCACCTGCACCTAACTGCACCACCCAGCAGGATTACACTTTAGCAGTTGCATCATTGGTAGAATTACATGTCAGTAATGCCACCATTCAGCAGAAATACAGTCCATCGCGTCCATGCCTTGATCATTCTAAAAGCAATTAAACAAACAGAAACGAGGTCTTGCCAGTACATCACTACTGGCCCTAGAACAACAATCACAGAAGCTTCTAGAAAGTGTCTATCGTGAGGTCAAGCCATGTGGAGCAGAAGGAGGGTGCTTTGGAGGGAAGCAACTTTGCGTGAGGGGGGCACACTGGCCGCTGGCAGCCTCTCGCTGAGATCTGAGACATGATGCCCCCAGCGATCGATACCACCTCTCTGTATTCTGAGCTGGAAAGGTCAGCAGAGGCAGGCGGGTTGCGGGCATTGGAGCACCGTGCACAGAGAAAACACCGGCTTCCATTTAATGTTCTCCATGTTTTCTCCCTGCTTTCCTTCAGTTAACTTTAACGTTGCATAGATTTCACTTAATTTTCAGCTATATTAACCTGCTTGTGCAGTAACAGTGGCAAAGTTCTCATGCTATGGTGACAGTGTGTGGTGAATGATATAGACTGCATTATACATTATTACACTTGTGATTGTCATTGATCACAATTGTGTTTAGTGTTTGTCATAAATCATTCCACTCTGCAGTGACAGTTTTAGTGTATGATGATCTGTGGTCATTATTATTGACCACGACCGTATTTGGTGACTGTAACAGATCATGAGGGTGTTTGGCCATTGATACAGATCATGGCAGTGTAATTGATATAGATTGTGAGGGTGTTTGCCAATGGATATAGATTATGTCACCTTTGCTTGTATTTCATTTCAGGCTTCAGCTCAACAAGAAGGGGAAAGTATGGCGGGACTCCTTTCTGGTGGAGAGGGGGTGAGCGAGGAACATCTTTCACATATTTGTAAAGATGTACACTCTAATCTGGTGCTATGATTTTAACGCAATATCTTGCATCAGAGTGCCTCCTGTTGGTGGAGAAGTTTCTCTTCTCTCATTCGTTTTCCTAGAAAACACATTCTGTGCAGAAACACTTCATAGACTCATGCAGGGGCCTGGAGCCTATCCCAGGCGGTACAGGACACCAGGCAGAGGAGCACACCTACAGGAAGCCCATCCATTACATCGCACTGAAACGCACACAGTTGCACACTGTGGGCAATTTAAAGATGCTAATTTGCCTGACTGCAGGTTTTTGTTCTGTTGGGGGGGAAGCCAGAGTACTCAGGGTACTCAGAGGACCTGCATAATGCAGGTAGGATGCAAACTTCACGCACACACAGCAGAGATAGGGTTCAAACCCCCATCCCCGGAGAAACAATGGCACCAACTGAGCTATTGTACCTTCCACTTCCCAAATGGCAATAAAAAAGAGCCTTGGATTATAATGTAAGCTTTACAGTCATAGATTCATCTGAATAGAGCTTGTAGTTCTGTAGATTATAGCCTTTGCCCTTAAGTAGCTTCCTGCAGGATAGAGGTGACTGTCTAGTCTGCCGCCTCCCTCCACCTGCCGAAAGGGGTAAGTAACTCGTGCTTTGCCTGTTGTGGTCCAGGAAGCTGTTGCACAAGCGGGACAGTGGGGCGGAGGTGGCCCAGGAGGAGAACTTCCTGCCCAAGTACCAGCGTGTGAAAGACCTCTGCCAGCGGGCGGAGTACCAGACACCTTGCGAGCAGCTGGGACAGGTGAGAACACCGCTCCGTGTGCCGGCGCACACGCCACTGCACGCACACGCCACTGCACGCACACACCGATGCACACACACATGTTGCTGACCTGCCCCTCGCCGGCGTGTGGACGTGTGACGTGGCAAACCTGTGCATGCACACATAGCATCTCCATAGCAACAATGCAGCAGGGGAGTCGCGCATGATTAAGGATCCTCTGGCAATCGCCTGGCATTTATCCGAGCACGCAGTAGCTGAGATCCGCTCCCCCATCATCCCTGCCTATGCAAATCCATCCTAATTTATCCCAACTGCCCCTCCTTAATTTAAGAACATTTGGTGAGCGGCAGCATAAAAATATTTATGCAAATGAGCGCGCCGCTGCGAGTGCAGTTGGAGTTGCACGCCGGGATGCGGCGAGCAGGAGGATGTCCTCCCTCAGCCGGGGATGATAGTGTGACAGCTAAGAGGGGAAGGAGTGACTTCAGGGAAAAGGGGAGCGACAGACTGAGAGGTATCCATGCTCGTGTTTTTGCCAGATTTGTTTCCTGCCAATAAAGCTATTATTGGGGGGGGGGGGGAGTGATTTGGCCGAATTGGGAGAGGAGCACGGAGAGGATTGGCGCCAGGTAGGGCACCAGCGTGAGGCCGGCCGCAGTATGACAGCGCCAGACAGCCCTGCAGCCCCCACCGTGCGATAATTAGCTTCACGGTCGTCGCCGTCACCCCCTCCCAGGGAGCTGATTCAGCTGCCACACTGGGCGAGGGGCCTTCCGAACGCCTTTTAAACAATCGTCTCCAACTCACCTCCTTTGTCAGGTGAATTATTTCGTCGCTACTGACAGTAAGAATAGGGTTTTATTGCAGTATACCTCTGAGCGCACGCTGCATTTACATATATATTTAAATTGTTTCGCCCACCTCACATCGCCGGAGCTGTGTCAGCACTCAGAAACTCTTTCCTGTCATCGGCATGTCATTTCCTGCACCTGCGCTTCATTTTCTCATAAAGTCGCGCAGCATCAGCCAGGCCAGGCTAACAGGTAGAACAGCAGTTGACATCATGGACTCGTAAAACAGAGCTCTGAGTAGAGTTTTGCAACAGTAATTCATGATATTTTTAAATGTGAATTGCTTCAGTAAAATGTCTGGCTGTATAACAGGAATGATACCATAAATCATGAAACAAACAAAAATGTCGGCCAAGCTTCACATAAACATCAAAAAGAATGAAAGTGTTATTTTTATGTTTTGCCTTAATCAGAGAGGGAAGAATTTCATAACAGTGCTGCGTTTTAGACAGGTTTCTGACTCTAGGACCAAAAACAGGGTTTTAGTTAAAACTCTCTCTCTCTCTGTCACACACACACACACAAACACAGAAAGATTCAGAAAAGTGGCAATTTAGAAGCTGCAGTCAACCCCCCAGCTACCAATAAATTGGAGGCGAACGTCTAGACGCCTCAGACCACAGCATACAAGCCCCACCCTCCCACTCCCACTGATTACAGAGATCACTCAGTCAGCAGCCATTTACGTGTTCCAGGGTGTAATTCAAGAGTTTAAACTTAAACATTTAATTGGAGAGATTCTACTAATTACTGTGCCTCTCACTGAGCACATTTGCTAATTAAAATAGTGCAGGAAAGCATATTTTTAACAGAGATCCTTGAACGAGAGGTCTGCACCTCGGGGTGCGTGTACTCCAAAGTATCAACTGCTGTTATAGCGCGCGTGTGTGTGTGCGTGTGTGTGCGTGTGTGTGTGTGTGCGTGTGTGTGTGCACATGCTACCCACCGCAGAAGTGGCAGTGTGTGGAAGATGCCAGCGGAAAGCTCCGGCTCTACAAGTGCAAGGGCCTGGCCGGCCTGGCGGCCTCACGCAAACCGGGTATCGCCGGGCCACAGTACTACGCGCACGATGCCGACCCAGACGGCTGCAGCTGCAGCGTCCCCAACTTCGGCTTGAGCCACTTCAAGAAGAAGAAGCTGCTCTCCAAGAAGAGTAAGAGACCGGGGTTTGGCATCCACATTCTTCCCAAAGCAGCAGCAATGAAAGGACAGGAGCTGTAGCTCTAGCTAGAAAGGATTCAAATGTTATGCAAATTAAACAGTACAGAAATGGTTATAGCAAAAACAGACCACATGGTGGCGATATTCACCAACTGAAGGTGTATGCAGTATTGAATTGCTGACATAAACTCAACATTCAGGCTTATATAGGCACATAGTAGCTAGTTCTGTCCAATGTGACAAGGACATTTAATGGCAGGCACGGCACGTGAGCACTTCCTGTGCAGCATAGTGTCACACCTAAGGTGATAAAATACTAAGGCATGGGACCTTTATTGCCATCTTCAGTTGTATGGTCCATCACCCATGAGTCATACACCGAGATGAAATTATGATCTTGTTGGTCATAGTGTAAGAAAAGTGACAAATTAAATATGAATATGAAAGACATAGACATTGGCAATCTAACCAATGGTCTGTAACACATACAAAATAGTCTGTCATACCCCATTTGGGTGTAACGTAGCGGCAACACAACACATTAGGTGGCAGAATGCTTTCTGGATGCTTTCTGTCCACAATCACAGCCAACGTAGATACAGTTAGATAAAAGTGAAGAATTAGAATACAAAATCTACTCAAACTACACTGTAGCTGAAGGTCCTGTAGGAAACCTTGTAGATTTTGGTCCCTCCGAAAGTAGGTTCATTACAGAATTCGCTGGTAACAAGGACTGACATCAGTTGTACAAACTAAAAGCCATTGCTTCCCTCTGCAGTGCTGCCAACTCTCACACATCTGGTGTGACACGCTTTCAAACTCACACGCAAGAAATCTTATGGAAAATCTATATTATCCCGCTATGAACCTAAAATTAGCTGCATCAAAAGCATTGGGGCAGTTTGCAACCCCTACAGGCTATTTCCAATATAATAAAACTGTTACATATCTGTAAATGTGTGTTCGATTTGAAAATCTCACTCCAGCCAGCTGACCAAAGCGACATTTCCTCTGCCCATTATTTGGGTGAAATAATCACATGACTTGCCCGACATGAGACGTAACCAGTTAAAGCAGGGAATATTGATTATCTGAAAAACATCAAAAGAGCTGCATGAAGGGTAGCAAACCTTACAGTTTAGTTATTGATTAAGTCCATCTGAAAAAGAAAGCAGACCCAGCATCCTATTCTCTCCTCACAAGGTGAAAAGCTTCGTTTGCTCATGAGAAAATGTATGAACCTTTACTGCCATCTTGTGGTTTATTTGGAAATTACATGCCAACGTTCCATGCCATGAGCAAGATCGCGTGACTTGGTGCAAGTGCCAGTAAGACTGATCCTTCTTTGCATTACCCTGCTTCTTACAGAGCTGAAGGCCAGTAAGAGCTACTTCAGGAACCGCCTGGCCCGCTCCGTGTCCTTTGAGGTGGGGGGGGATCTCTATGCGATCCAGCTGGAGGACGGGTACCAGCCTGTGGGTCCCAGAAATGTCAGTGGGGGGGGTCCAATGACAGCCATGCCCCGGAATGATGACGACGACTTCAGCGGCATGGGCGTCACCGTGGCCCCGAAAACTGGCAATAGCTTCATGGTTCCTTCCTCAATCAAGGTTACTCACAGGTGAGGACATCGGCGAATGATGGAGCATCCAGTGTGAGAAGAGCAGGAAATGTGTCGGTGATCCATGGATACTGAGGGTAGACAGTGCTCTTCTGTGCTCTTCAGGTGCTCTATCCTGGCCAATGACACTGTCAAATGTGACGTCGGCCTATACAAGTCACTGCAGGCATGGAAGGACCATAAACTTCATATAGATCATGAGGTGGGGACCATTCCTGGGTTTCTGTTGGGTTTCTGCGGATTGTGTTGATTCTGTGTAGATCACTGATTCTGTACTGGATATGGTGTTGTACCCAAACCACCAGCATAGAACTAGTGTGCCTGTGTTACGTTTAGATTGAAACCCTGCAAACGAAGATAAAGAACCTGCGTGAGGTCAGAGGTCACCTAAAGAAGGCGCGCCCTGAGGAGTGTGACTGCAGTCAGTACATGTGAGTTTACGCCAGGCTTGACACATCCCTGTCCACAGGTGGCCCGAGGAGAAGTGCCTTCCTCTCCACCCACATCACCGTTTTGGACACGCCTCTCCCCAAAGACACGCCTCCTCGTTCCCCATGCGGCCTCATGAGTGAACCTCTGCTCTTGTGTTTCAGCTACCAGTCTAAATTAAAGGGGAGGTTGAGGCACAAAGGAGGCAGCGTGCACCCATTTAGGTAATGGAGGAGTGGCTGGCATGTGAGTGTACTCCCTCCACTGGCCAGGCAGAGGCGCTAAACTGGCTGCGTTTCGCAGGAAAATGCATGACAAGGACAAGAAGCAGTGGCTGCTGAAGGAGCAGAAGCGTCGGAAAAAGCTGCGCAAGCTGCTGAAGCGACTGCGCAACAACGACACCTGCAGCATGCCTGGCCTCACCTGCTTCACGCACGACAACCAGCACTGGCAGACCGCCCCCTTCTGGACAAGTAAGACTCGACACTCGCAGCACGCATGCCCCCTAACCCTGAGCCCCAAGCCCCTAACCCTGGCTGCATGCTCTTCCAGTGGGCCCATTCTGTGCCTGCACAAGCGCCAACAACAACACATACTGGTGTCTGCGGACCATCAACGAGACACACAACTTCCTCTTCTGTGAGTTTGCCACGGGGTTCCTGGAGTACTTTGACCTCAACACTGACCCCTACCAGGTAACGTTTCACCATGATGCACCTGATAAGAGCCTTTTGGTTGTCTGCCTTGCTGGGAAAAACTATATAGGCACAGAGTAGACGAAATTCTGGCAGTAGCGTACTAAATTCAAGATTCAAGAGGTTTATTCATCACGTACACAGCTGTACACATACAACATGTAGTGGAATGTAACCACAGTCACTCCGAACAGCTGTGCATGATAAGAGAATAATAAAATATAGAAAAATAATAATTTAAAATAAAAAATATATGAAATGTTCAGCTGTACATAACCTTTAGTGATAGGTAAAAGTGATTGTGCTGTGCAACGTGCAACAGACCTGAGATACGTACCAACAATTTGGACAGTATGAAAGCAGTACTCATAGGATTACTGGCACTCGTACACGGCATTTTCGAAATGCAGTCAGTTACAATGCTGCTGTCGTTTCACAGACGGCTGTCTTCTAGGGTGACATCACAAGGGCTTTAAACCACATGGTTACTGTGTAGGTCATAGTGCATTAACATCTGGTAGCTGTATGGGCCAGCTGTGAGTGCATGTCTCCCGTCTGTACGCAGCTGATGAATGCCATCAACATGCTGGACCGGCACGTTCTGAACCAGCTGCACGTCCAGCTGATGGAGCTACGCAGCTGCAAGGGTCACAAGCAGTGTAACCCACGCACTCGCAACCTGGAGATTGGTGAGTATCTCCGGCGCATGCACCCACATGCACCCACAGACCAAAACAAAACTACACACTTACGGCATCAGAGGTGGTAAGTACACACTCTGTCTCTCTCTATTTCTTTTCTCTGTCTCACTCTGCCTCTCTGTCACACACATGCATTTTGTGCTGTTCCACACACCATGCTGATGGAGTCACGCCCATTTCACATTTCATCATGATCATCCCTCCGTGATGCAGGCCCTGTCTCGCATCTGATTCAGCAGTGACAGTTCTCCTGTTGTTCAATAAGTCATTTTAGTTCATGTATTTACTTAGAATTTTTTTTTCTCTCTCTGTTAAAGCACTTCACAATATGATAAATTAATTAGAAATTAATTACATACTAAGAACACTGAGGTAGAATAATATACAGATAAATTCCTCTAGTGTTTATAATATGTATATATAAAAGTATTTTATATCTAAAGTAGTTTACCATACTTTGGAGCTTATGATTATCAGCAAGTTAAAAATTATTAAACTTCAGTTCTGCATAAATTATGTGATAAACTTGCCTGTCAGGACATTATTGTAAGGTCTTTAGGATTAGCTTTGAAACTGTGCCTTAATATTTGCAAATCTGCATTATTCTATGTTCCTGTTTTCTTGCTAATAATATTGTCTCTTCTTCAGGAGGTAAAGAGCGAAGCAGCTTTGATGAATACAGGTATATTTGCTCATTGAACTAAGTATCTCTGCACTGGTCTAAACTAATACCACCGATTGGATCTAATATGAGATTTATTTTCTCTTCTTCTTTGGAAGTATAATGCAGGGACTCTGTGCTTTTAGACTACCTCCTTTAGAACAGTGAATCTGGGGGCGGGGCGGGGGGGGCGCTATTTGCTTTGCTTTCTCTTTGCATCTTGCATGATTGCTCACTGGTGGAAGCACTTGTTTTTGGGGCCTTTCGAGGAAGGCTTCGAGTCCCCTAGGCAAAGCTGCTCTCGTCCCACCCGAAGGGTCAGCGTAACAGTGTGTCTTGTTGTCACTTGTGCATCAGGCAGCTCCACCGTCGAAAGTGGCCAAAAGCGAAGAAGCCCAGCTCCAAATCTCTGTGAGTTTGGAACCCCACGCACGGTCCCGGTGACGCCATCGGCCCCCGCTGCTCTAACTTTACCCCCTTTTCTCCCGCCGGCTCAGTTCTGACTGCATGTTGCATCTCGGCCTGCACTCCGTAACCTTATTTTTTGTCACCTGCCTCCTCTGCATGAATTCCTGGATCACAGATATGGCACAGTCTTCCGCCATAGATAGGGCGCTTTTCACCGGGCTTAAGACATCTTCCCTTTCCATTTTTCTTCTCTCTTCATGTGCTTTCTGTTTTTTTAGCGTAGTTGATCAGCCTTAAATATCCAGCCATCAAATCTAGTCATATAAAAAGCTGCTAATAAACTGTCACAGAGCCTAAATATGTCTATAAATACAAAAAACTGCCAAAAAAAAACAAAAAGGTGCTTTTGGGTGTATTGTACAGGCCATTATTCATGTACATATCTCGAAAATGGGAGTGGAAGTAGAATAAGTGGATTAAATCGTTGATGTTGTGTGATTTGTGATTGTTCCCTAACAGAGGACAGATCTGGGAAGGTTGGGAGGGTTAGGACCTGGGAGCCCCTCGGCCCGGACCTCCCTGGGCAGGCCAACTGGTTGGAACTTGAAACCTTGTACAAACTTGATGAGCACACCTACGATCTCAAAAGCAACTTCAACGTGAGCCTCGAGGACTGGACCAACTTCGGAGGAGCCGTAGACAGGATGTTTGCGCTATTAGGAAATTTCAACCATCTGGACAGGCGGCAGCACATCCCCCGGGGAGGGGAAGGAGGAGACAGAGCCGTGGTGTCTTCCACCAGCCAATCCACTTCGGCTGTTTATCTGACCACACTAGCCACACCTGCTTTCCTGCTGCGCAAGGCTGGTGCGGAGGCCCTGCAAGATGCCCTCGGCCTGAGCCGGGAGATGGGTGACTCCTCTTCTAGCTCCTCCTCCAGCCCGTCCCTGACCCTGCCCTCTCAGAGGGCCACAAACCCCCTCCTCTTCCATGAGCTGCAGGCGGATGATCAGGCCAACCCAGATGAGGAAGACGAGGAGGACGACGACTTTCGAAGGAGCCGTGTGATGAACCACACCCCCTGCAACTGCAGCGAATTCATCAGAGAGGACACTCACGGGACTGCCATCTGAACAGCGGTGTCCCAGGCTCTTGAATCTGCTCCGCCTGCTAGCCCTGAGTACTGGCTATATCCCCTTCGTCAAAGAACATCTCTGTATGACAAGCAGTCCCTCCCTGTGAAAATCCCCTTTAATATATCTCACAAGCGGTCTATCCACTGCTCAAGCAAGTAGCCCACAGGCACAAAAGGCAGTTAGCAGACTCGACCGAAACTCAGGCTTTGGGTGCAGCACAAATTATTCTGAAAGAATGAACAATGGAAAGGGGTTATGGAAAAAAAAATATGGTGTTTATTATTCATTGGACTATAGCAAAGTTTTGTATTCTGTCCATATCTACTTAACTGTTTTCCTCACGGCCATTGTCTCCACCCCTAAAGGCCCAGCAGCATGTGACATACTAATTTATGCGTGTGTGAAATGACCACCTGGGAAAGGGCAGAATTGCACACTGTGCTGCCTGACGTCGGGGACGGGGAATCTCCCTCTGCGACAAAGAACCTTTCGCACCGGCAGCCCGAAACCCATTGCTTGTTTTTTTAAAACGAAGTTTACTACAGAAGCACCCAAAGCCCGAGTGTTTCTGTCCCACCTCACCCGCCAGCTGCCGAAGACGAAATTTGCTTTTGTCAAGCGTGGAGCTTAAAACTTGGTAATATGTAGTCTAGGTGGGATCTGCTTGATCCACTAACTAGCACACACCTTCTAACGAGGATGAGAGCTCATCCACCCTTCGGAAACTCTACTTGGTGTCACCTCACAAGGCTCAGCTTTTGGGGAAAAAAAGTAAAAGACTGCATTCCGCTGTTTATTTTCTTACATAAACTCACTGTGTGTGTGCGTGTGTTTTTTTTTTTTTCTCTCCAAATGGTCCGTTCTCTAAAAATGCATAATCAACGTTCCCACGAATAACATGCTGTATTGCGTTAGTTTCATATTATGTCTTTTCTGTAGAAAATAAAGATTGAGAAATGTATTTAACAAAATGTCACATTCTCTTTAATGTTAGAATACTGTTTCTGGTTATTTTCGCTATACATGGTGCTATGACAGTCCGAACAAATATATTAAATTGCTGTATGTATTTGAATGTATGTTTTACAATTAATGTAAATGTTGAAATATATTTTATAATACACAAAAGAGGTTAAATTACTTATTTGACAATGTGTTCTGTATTTTGGACATATGAATATTTTACATCCATAGTATTGCCTTATGTAATTTTTTTAAACCTTTAATTATAAGATACTCCTTAAATTAATCATTTTATGTCACTCAGCCACCTCCCCCCGCCCCATAATTGACTTTTATACAAGATTGTGACATAATGCTCATGTCAGAAAACATGGTTTTTGTCGGCACTTTAAAAGGAGCCGCTGTATGTGAATGAAATCCGGGCAGTTTTAAATAATTCCTTGTACAGTGCATAGATTTATCATACATATACTTTGTTTCCTTTCAGTTACCAGTGAACCTTTGATAGCAGTTAATAGTTTGTGAATAAAGTGTTAAATGCTTGGGGACCCTTTCTACAATTGGTTTTTGAAGTGTTTATTTCCAGTCTCAATATTCATGCTGCCTTGCTCATTTTTGATCACTTCTTCTTCACTCAGACTTCAGGGAGTGAAATGTATGTGTATTGTGTAAGAGGAAAACAGTGAGGTGTTTCTGCTTGGCTGGTGGGCACTTTTTTGTGGAACTTACTGGATTCTGGCAGTTAGCATTGCTGGTGAGAAGGTGCAGTTTTTCCATCCTTCTTGCCCAGTACAAAGTCATGGTGGTCCTGCAGTCTATCCCAGGAAGCATAGGGCAGAGGAACACCTTGAATGGGATGCCAGGGCACACACTCATACACTATGGGGAATTTGGAGATACCAGATCACATAAATGTCATGTTCTGGGTCTGTGAGAGAAAACCCATCTGACCACAGGGAGATCATGCAGATTCCACACACAGGGCAAGAGGCAGGGATATGATGCAGTGTCAGATTGCAGTGTTATCCACTGAGTCACCATGCGGCTCCAGTACAGTTTAGTCATCTGTGAATCAGGGGAAGCCTAAATATTTCAGGGTGTCAGTCGAATTAAAAAAATTAATCAATTGAAGGTTCATTTTAGAACTGAGAAGTTGGTTTAATATCGGACTTTCATAACACATTCCCATTGAGACGTCAAAGCGTGCATCAATAACGTTTCCATACAAATTGGGGAAAGATAAATTACGTTACAAGTAAAAGATTTATTAAGGATGTTTTGGAATTTGCACACATCATGTATTTAATGCGCATGTTGATGAAGCTTCCTTATTTGTATATGTCAAAGTCACTCCCCACTTTAATGATATGGGTGAAACATGCCGGAAAAGATTACATGAACTCAAAATTAAGGTGTAACAATAAATATGTGCCCATGGAAAAGGACTTAGAGGGGCAACATAAAGGAAATGTTCATTGATAGAAAAGACTAGGTTATACATTGTTTTACTCTTACAGTCATACAAATATACAGTAAAGTACACTTCACCCACTCATACACATATAAACTCAGTTTATACAGTTACCATCTACAGCAGTGTTTCTTAACTGGTGGACTGCGACTCAAAAGTGGGTCACAAGATGAATTTCAGTGGGTCACGGATTGCGTAGACAAAAAAAATGCCAAACCAGTTTGAGAACCATTGATTTAGAAAGTAAATTTATTATTTAACTATTAATGATTTGCTAAATTCTATTACATTCTTCTGTAATGTGACTCAATTTCTTTGACCTGGAACAAATTAAATTCTTCCTCCTGTCATTACAATTCAATGAAACATCCTACGGGGTGCAGCCAATTCAAGCAGCAGTTTTTCAATACCATGAGGAACAGTTTATTTCCTCAACAGTGAGATTGTTGAACAGTCAGCACCGCCGTAGATCAAGTACCCAATTGGCATAATGAGGTCATGTGTTGTAGCGTCATGCACATTATTGTAGGGCTCACTGTATGAGACCACATTTGGAAATGTGTTTTATTGCATGGGTCTTATTGTCACTACAGTACCGTATTTATTCTACGTATTTTAGTATTACTGGTGCACTGCTTGTGTAATGTGAGGCTTTTAAAAATTGTAGAGGTTGCCTATTTTATGTTTCTATTCATTTCTATTTATGTACATCTTTTATGTAAAGTAGGGAGAGAACAAGAGCAGAAGTATCTCATTGTATATTTTTAATACATATTACAATCAACTTTAACTTCAACTTGAAGTTAATCATCTAATGTGATGACTGTCCAGTCCTCCTGATGGTCTGCCGCTGTCTGTCCATCTCCAAAGGAGCTTGGGCACTCTCCACAGCTCTCCCTAGAGAAGGTCAGCTGCAGGTGAGAGACAGGTATTTAGTCATCGTGCAAAAATCCTTTAGGATCAGTTTTGACAGTATTTTTGACTGGGATAGCTAAGGGGATACTTGTGCATATCTGCATTCCTGTTAACAACATGATGTAATTTGGACTGATGGGGGTCCAGCCCAGAAGCCTGGAAGAAGGGAAGGTTATTTTGGATATACATCATAGTTTTACACCAGAAGTGTCACGCCCCGCTCCGTCCGCCCCCGATGTGTGCCACGCCCACCTCGTTACCTCGTGTGATTCCCTGATTGTTCTCACCTGTGATTCGTTACCCTTAGCCTGTCTCTTGTATTTAGTCCGTGTCTAAGTCAGTGTACCCCAGATCTGTCATTGTAGTGTCTGTGAATGTTCCTGCCTGGTTACCCTCCGTCTCAATTAAAACCCTGTTTGTCCGTATTTACGGCTCCAGTCGCCTGCTTTCCGGCTCGCTTGCCCCGCACCGTGACAGAATGACAGATCTC